GAGAAAGTCACTTGTGTCTAAGTGGACCTACTGAATTCCCACTTATGCCGTGCATACACTGTATGATAACTTTTGCCCGTTTCGGGCCGATTTTCCAGTCGTGCGAGACTTTTTTGGATCTGGCCGAGTTTCAGCCTCATCGTGCGTCCTGCATCGTGTAGTATACAGGAGGTAACAAGGGGATGTCAGCCTCTCACGACCACCTCTCGATCAGGATTTGTAAGGTCAGAAAAAAAATCAAACATGTTTAAAATTTAAAATTCAGATGGCCCACCTGAGGTGTTCAAATCCTGCTGTTGAAGCAGAGCTATGAGCCGATTTACCAGAACCTCTTGCACAGCACATGTGCAGACAAGGGAGTTCTTTTTCTTCCAGATTGAGAAGTCCAACTTGTGGTTTTGGACGTGCAGTGTGAGCAGGTCGATCGCATCAGAGCGTTGGGCCGCACAGTGAGAGAACATGCATCGTGAGCTGTGAACTTTTAAACCCTGTGGTTTCTTTGTACAGTTTTAGATGTAGCTGAGTGAAACGATTGGAAATATCGTAAAGTGTATGCCCGGCTTTAGGTTTGCAAAGTTGTAACTGAATTAGTCTAAAGACTTGGCACAAGCAACTATCAAGCACAGTAGGAATGGTGGCTTAAGTTGCCTCTGCTGTCACCAGGCCTTGAAATATTTGGCCAAAGAAAAAACTTCAGTACGGTTTGAAAAACATAATTGCGTTTAATTACATTGTTACTTTGACTTGGAAATTATAGGTCACACTCCTGTACAGGTCTGATAGTTTTATTTTTTGTTTGGGGTTAAAGTTTATTGTTACCATAATAAATCATAATTTTTATTAAAAAAAATCCTCAATCTGTAAATTTTAGTTCTTGTTTTCTAGTAAATGTTAGACTTGAACCCTGTTTAAATGCTGCAGTGTGACCTTGGTCCAGATGGGCAGAAAATTCTGTCAGCTTTGCTCCTGCAATTGTTGTGTGGTAGACTTAGTTTATCACACAGCTTTTCCATTTTAACCTTGTTGTTTAACAAAACAAGAACTGAAATTGTTTTGACAATGAAAAAGGTTTTTAAAACCCAATTGTTTGATCCTAACATAAAAACATGTAAACTGCAACACAGTCTGTTTTCTTTCTCTTCATGAGAAATCCACTGATCTTATCAACATTGACATTTTAACTCCAGTCAAGAGACAAACGGAGAAAAAACATTAACTGAGGAATGTTGTGAGGAGTTGTTCCAAGTTAAAGAGAGTTATCAGATACAGTCTGAGAGAGAGCTTTAAAGGGGATAAGAAATTAACCAATAAACTCTGATATCATGCCATATTTAAAGATTTTATGCAGATATCTTTTCTATTTTGACACTTTGTAATTAATATTGTTGCTAAAATATTAGTCCTCTACATTATTGCCCCACTAACAGCATCAACGTAATTCATTTTGCTGTGATAGCAAATAAGAAGTTCAATTTTAGTAGAGCATGACTGAACTCTCGTTTGATTGCTATTTCAATAAATCCATGCCTTCACACTTTCAGTAATTGTGGTAATATTCCAGGGAGTTACCCTGACAAGAAGAGAATGAACAGCTAAATATGAAATTGAATTGAGCGGCCCAAAGGTGTCTGGCAGCTCGATTAAGAACTTTTTTGTTGATGTGTCAACAGTTTAATTCCACCGCCTTGAGACGTTTTTGTCTTTCACACATTCATTGATGCAGTTCAGTGATCGGGTCGTTCTGTAACATCATGGCTCAATTAAAAAATGATGAAAAGCCACAAAGTTGTGTCAGATTGATTGTGATTGGTTTTTGAAGGTGTGCAAACGAGTTAAGAGTTGGTTTATTTTACATCTCACATTTCATTATGATCTTTGCGTTAAGTGTGAGATTGTTTTGAAGGGGTTAAAAATGACTTTAGTTAGGATATCCAACCTGCTCAATTTATTAGCTTTTTCTAAAATCCTTTGTTTGCTGTTACTTAATTTTTATTCCATCAACTGTAATCTATGTAATCTATATGTGAGAAACTTTTCACTGCTGAGACATGATAAAGTCTACATTCAGTCCCGTAAGGGTGTTTTAAAAGATGTTTATCCTGTTTTGATAGGCTATTTACTTTGGTTCACAGCAGATTTGTTGATTAAACTCTAGAAAAGAAGAGTGATTGGATTATATAGTCATATAAAAATGCTATTACTTAAATTAAAACTGCTAAACAACTAAAGCAGCTAAAAATTGTGTTAAGAATAGGGATTTTCATATCAATAATCTATTTCAGCATAATTGACTGCCATTGTAATTCCCACTTTAGTTGTCCAGTTGTTCTACTTTATTTAATTGTTGCACTGGATTAGTCTGTACGATAAAAGTCAATTTTATTTTTATAGCAGAATTTGTGTTTGTATGTCTCGGGCTGAACTAAGTGACGGATGATTGTTGAAAAGGCTGCGAAACAATTAGAACTACTTTTAAGTAATACTTTTTTCTTTTCATACTTTCTTTAATCCCCAAATATTGCAATAAAATGTCCTGTCTTTTGTGAAGCAGGGGCAAATATGGGCAATTGTGTGTATGAAGAATTGGGATCTATCAAAAAATCACATAAGTTGATTTAAATGTTCTTTTATTCATTTTTCACACATCTCAACATGAAAAATGTTCTGTAAGTAAAATGTGACACATATGAGGTATTTGTTGCTCTTCTAGTTGCCATTTTTCTCCCAAAGCATTTGCAAATGACTTCAAACCTTCTGCTTAATACAGAGGTGTTATCAGCCTTACAAATATTTTGTATTTGTATAGAATACATTTGTTTTTTAGGTTTTATATGATGAATTTCAGCCATTGTTCTCTCACTTATGAGATAAATCCTTTTGTATATTTGGATGAAGAATTAGATTAATTTCTGTAATGTAATTTAAATGAAATATATTGCTGTTTTTCCATTTGCACACTGTAGTTTTCTTTCCTTTAGCACATATGTTGATTACACCCAGCCATCATCCTCTTTATAAAATACTCTTAACTCCTAAGCCATTAGTTGTCAGTGTCACCCCCACAAGGAGCAGCGATTGTACTTTCTTTTATTATTCAGGATGTCTGTATATTTGTATGCCTGCTTCAGCCCACAGCTGTCTAAATTGATACTCTGAACATAGTCAAACATCTCTTGTATTGTTCAGCCCTACCTTTTTCTAAAACATTCCTTAAAAAGGGTGCGGTTCACCCAAAGTATGAGCTATAGGAAAAATAAATATAATTCAGTAGTGTTTTTTTCCCTGACATATTGATTGGTCAAAGCAGATAAAGTTAACTAACCATCTCAGCCAGATGTATCAGAGATGACACAGTTTCATATGTTTTGTTCCAAGTCTGAGTGGGAAATGTTGAGACAATACAGTAATTGTTCTGAGGAAAGACAAAAGAGATGTGTTGCAGAAAGATCTAACTGAAAGCCTTAGTGATGCTGGTGCTGCTCATAGATGGTTTTAAATCTTCACTATGAGTGCACCAAAGTAAGGAAATATATATATATATATATATATATATATATATATATATATATATATATATATATATATATTTTATATGCTGTACCCTTTTCATTTATAAACGTCCAATTGAATCATTTTATGTCTAAAGGTTAGAAAGTCACAAAACATCATGAGAAATATGAAATAACAAAATAAGGTATGTGCCTTTAACAGGCATACAAAAGGTTGAATTAATTTAACTCCAGTTTTCTAAGATTGATACTGCACTAAAGAAAACTTCTGTAAGGTCTCGCTGTCCAATGCAGACATACGATTCTCCAGTCCATTAGTGCTCCACTTAAGCCCACTGCAAGATAGGTCTTCTGATAAGCATTGATGAAGTTTAGTTCTTTTCCTTATTTGTTCCTTTCAGACGTTTCTCTCATTACTGTAGGTGAATTCTACACACTACTCTTCTTTGTGTTTTATTTCCTTTGTTCTCTAGTGCGTCTGTCCTTGTGGTTTGTTTCTCTTCACTGATCTGTAAAATTTGCTTTTAAGGTTTTGCTGTTTTTTAGACTTTCTCCAGAGTTTTACCCAAGTCACTGAACCAGGCCTTTTTATATTTTCAGTTATACCAATCAAAAAACAGAGTTAAATTTAAGGCAATGCAAGCTGCTAGATTTGACAAAAGACTCCTGGAAATGTGTAAAAACTGTTTTTTTTTTGTTTTTTTTTTTAGAAAAACTGTGCAAAAGTCCAGTTGCCTGTCATTTAAACGTGGCTTGCGAAAATGTTTTATAATCATCCCTACCACCTTTAATTATTTTGCATCTCTGTTTCATTTCAAAGGCAGAAGAGGACATGATTTTATGGTTAAATACATTCTGATTGCTTTACTACACATTTCACAGTGTAGGACATGCAGTCTGCAGCTCACACATCAGGTTAATGGCACATGAAGCTCAATGTTACAGACTGTACAAATTTTACACCGATATTGCAGCAATGAGCTGAGTTATAACTCACAATGTTAGTCAGACTTAGCAGGCCGCATGTTTCAAACTACAGTAAAACTGACTGAAGCATGACTTCCACATCATTCATCCCACTGAGCTGCCAGATGCAGAAGTGCATCCCGCGCAGCTTTGAGAATGTTTTATTTAGTTTAAGAACTCTTTTGGCCAGGTAAAACTCTAGAACGTGGCCTAAAAATGTCCACCTATATCAGCAGGACCTTTAGCATGTTGTTATTTTAAAGCAGCAAACTGCACCCAAATCAGTTTAAATGTAATAATTCCTGAGTGTGACAAATTGTTTTTGGTAAAAAAAAACAAAAAAAACAAAACATGTTTTACATGTTCTATGCATATTAAGGGTTTTTGCTATGTACTTTTTTTTTCTCCATCTTGCTTTTGATTGCAAAATGTCCACAATTTGGTTCATTTCAATGGTAGATTTAAAGAATTCTTAAACAATTCCATTGTCAACTTCTTTGATTTAATATTCTTTCTTCTCTACAGTGACAAACAAGAAGCCGTCTCATGTGTCCCTCACTAAAGTGAAGCAGTTCCAAGGATCATCTGCCTTTGTCAAAAGGTCACAGTGGAATATTGATCAACTACGGCAAGTTAATGGAATTGACTCCAACAAAGTAGGTTCTTAAAATTCCTCCAAAACCTCAAATGTAATCCATAAAAACATTAGGATCTAATTAAAATAAAACTTATGATAAGGTTACTGAAGCAAATTCAGGGTATTAATGGACATTTTGAGTGATTTAACTGCATTTTGCTGTTTTTGATGGTTGTTTTTACTTGTATCCTTCCTTATAATGATCTTTAGCCCTAATATTATGACTACTTAATTTTTTGTCAAAGGATTGTCCAGAATTTGACCTGATGTTCGACAATGGTTTGGACCAGTGGGTTGCAAGCTCAGCAGGAGAGAAGTGCACCTTCATCCAAATTCTTCATCACACCTGCCAACGCTACTGCTCAGAACGGAAACCAGAGTTTATTAACTGTCAGTCGAAACTCCTCGGTGGTAAGAATTGTCCTGAGCAAAATTTAAAGATTAAGCTAAATACTAAAAACTTAATATTCTGATAGCAGAAACACTACAGTGACAAATCCACTGTGCTGTAAGCCCAGCTTGAATCCCATCATCTACACTATGATGACAACCAGCACCTGGTGTGCATGGAAATGTATGCTTATTCCTTGTACAGAGCATCTGCTGTGTGCTCTGTTAAAGGGTGTCAAAAAAGGAAGTTGAAGAATTATATTAGCATTGATTTAAAGTGCTTTCAATGATAAACTGGTTTTACAGCACAAAGAAATCACAAAAATTTTAATTTTTTTTATATTTTCCATAATATATACACATATATAAATTTTTTCATACTTCATTTTTAATACTTTTTAATGCAACATCCATCCTAATTATACGAAACAGGACTGGTTTAATTTTACTACTTCTTGCCTTCTCATAAAGATGCTAGATTAAAGAAATTGGAGGAATTGTTAATAAGAACGAATGCGTCCCCTGTGTATACTGTAGAGTAGTTAAGTAAAGATTCAGACCTCAAGGAAATTTATCATATGTGGATCTCACGTTTTTCACTGATGTTATATCTGCTGCTCTTAATGTTTATGGTTGTTCTAAATATCATCATGGGTGGTTTTATCTTTTATTCTTGATTTACATCTTACAGTAGAACTTCTGTTGGCTTGCTCTATTATTCATGAAAATAGTTTGTTAAAAAAAAGTCCTACACCTCTCCACCACTCTACAAATACAGGGGTCAGAGGTTTGATGTGTGTCTTTATGACTCTCCTGTTGCGAAATTATTTAACATTAACAGCAGCATAGCGAGATGCTGATGCTCTCATCACTCATCCAGTTCCTGTTTTTAAATTTGTCAGTATGAGTGGGAACTATTCATCTATTCATTGATGATAAAGCTGCCATTTCTTCCCAACCTTCTGCTACATTTCTTTGACCTCCCTCCTACATTCATCACCATGTCCATATTTAACATTGTCAGATGACCTTGGTGTATAGTGTGGTCTCTGCATGTGTAGGTGGGAAGTAGCAGTTTTCAGCAGAGCAACGTTTTTTTACTATTTTAATGAAACATGTGAATAAATCTGCTCAACCATTATTGGATTAAAAATATATATTTAATCTTATAACAATATCCAGTAAAATGAATATGCAATTAATTTCTAATTCTCTGCTCTCTCTGGATCTGCTAAGTATAATTGATGGTAAAGATGTCAGTTTATAACTCGTGCAATGCACAAAAATTGAGGGTAATCCAAATCTGCTGCCAGTTCTGTTCTCTCCAGTTTAAGTCTCACACCAGTGCAAAACAAAAACCATGACGCTGCTCAGGTGTGGGACCCTAACTGTGGATGGACTCTTATCTGCATAAAAACATGGGATGGCAGACATTTATAGCCTTAGAAATTCTGTCTTTACTGAGTACAAGTTAGATTATGCAAGTGGAAAAATAATTGCAATTGAAGCTGAAACAATTAAATTATTTAAGGTAACAATTGAATTTTTTCTGGCCAATTTCCAATCTTTGATTTTTGGAAAGGTCTTATTTAACAATACAGATTTAGCATTTATGGATATATATATATATTTTGTGAATGTGTAATAAGAGATACATTTGCGATTTAATGTTTTTTGATGTTTTGCTGACACTGATAATTTGTAAAAGGCAGCCTTAAGCATCTTTGCCACTGAAAATACCGCGTTAACGTATGTTTTTTTTAAAACATGGAATGACCCGCTAACAATGGGTATTTGGCTCACTTCCCACTTCCAAAAAAAGCTGGTTCTAACCCCTCGCTGGTAAGCTGCATGATCTCTGTCCCCCAGAAGCTTCATGTCTGGTAACCATCACACTGGGGTAGCGTTGAAGGTGTGTGACCGAAATCGGGAAAGTATACAATGGAGTGCAACATGTAAGGAAGCGAGGGTGTAGTAAATGTGCTTTGTTGTTTCGCTCTTTTGTCCCTCCGAATCCCTCACACCAGAGCTGCGCCATGTTTATTGAATATAAACAGAGTTGATTTGGCTTGTTAGATCAGATTTGGCTGGCGCGCTGTGTTGACATCTGTACATTGCCTTCAATGGTGTCATGTAATTTAGCGGGTCAATCCGGCTCTGGTGTTACTACAGCATTGCTGATCAGAGCTGAGGCGATTTAAACACGGGAAGCTTGCCGAGTCGTTTGACCCGGATAGACTCGCATCAGTGAGCTGTTCCAACTGCCACTAGAAGCCGATTGTTCCCGGGTTTAAACAGGTTTTTTTGACCAGTGGGAAAGGGGTATTTGAGTGGAGTTGAGTAAAGTGGAGAAATTCTGGTATCTTCATAATGGTATATTTGAATTAAATGATAAGCAAAGTAGAATGAATTTGAAAAAAGGATCTAAAATATGTATCAAATACAATGCATTGAAATAAACATCAGACTGTTTACAAAATAATAAGTGTTTAAAAAAGTGCAATTAACGGTAGACATGTAAACTAAATTGATCTTGTTGGAAGCAACAATAGTTAAAAAGTCTAACATCTACTGGGAGGAAGGATCTTCGAGAAACATCCTTTAATGCACCTAGGGTGCAGCAGTCTTTTACTGAAGGAGCTCTCCAGCAACAACTTCATGAATGGGGTTGGAGAGACTATCCAACACTATAGTTGGATAGCCACCTTAATAGTTATGACAATTATGGCATTGTGTGAGAGAACAGTAACTATTTTAGAACAAAGTAAATTCATTGGAGTTGAAAATAATAATCTCTTCAAACATTAGCAAATAGCAAGGCTTGCATCATTGAACACAGTTTCTATATGAGAATTTTTCCATGTGCTGGTTATTCTATAGGGAAATTAAATGTGTGGTTATTATAATTCGGTCTGAGTTGATGTTGACCCAAAAAAACTGGATAGCTGTCCTATATGGTGCGCTTTAGTGGTTTCCAACGTTGGCCACTTATTCACTTTAACAATGGACCAATTGGAAAGCTGCCAACTACTTTAAGATCCAAGGTCTTAAATGCAGTTTTGTTTTCTAGTAGTTGTTTAAGTGCTTTTATTTTCACATTATACCTTTTCATATCTTTATAACAGTAACCAGTAACAAAACATCCAATTGGTTTACTCCTAACATAATAAGAATAACAATAATAATAATACCGTAATAATAACAATAATGGTAATAATATCAAACTTATAAAAATTTGATAAACTAATAAAGAGCAAAGTTTTTTATGGCAGATGTTTTCTTTATCACAGAAGGCTTAGATACAGTCGTTTACCACTGCAAGGTCTATTTTAACAGAATGAGGAAAGACTTAGTGCCCCACCGTGGTCATCAGCAAAGACAAGGTAAGAACATAAGGAGAGAAATGTGTACCTACTGTACCTTCATTAATTATACTGTCATTAGTATTCTGTGCGGTTGGGTAGGTTGTATCAAATTTCAATTTAAGCTTTCTTAGTGCCATTATGAAGAAAAATTACAGTTTCTTTACATTATTTATGTCCGTAAATAATTAGTGAGTACACAAATGTATTGGATGCTTTTTTGTAATGAGTAATGAAGTAGCATTATTTTATTTTAAAATGTAAAATTTAAGGTAATCAAAATGCAAAAAATGTCTCATGTTACTTAAACTGTTACTTAAACAGCATATTTGCTTTCCCATGTCATAGATTTTCTCTATCAATCTATTCTTTACAAAATGCAAAAGCGAAAAACAGTAGCTTTCCTAGTTAAGCAGCCAGTTTGTTTTTCTCTTATTTCTCATTTCAGTATTTCATGAATATTTCCTACTGAGCCTGAATGTTTGCAATTAGGCATCATATATGACTTTCATCTTTATTTTCATTTCAAAGTTTTGTTCCACACTCATACAAGACTACATTTTTTAAATACTGGCACAACACTGAAGTGTGCTTTTTTGTTCATTCTAATGTGAAAAGGTATCAAAATACCAGTTATATACAGGCAAATGTAGCTTATTCCCTCTGTGTTCTTCACTGCAATTTTTTTTATCTCTTCATTACTTCTCATACAATAAGAAATTTGAACTTTTTAGGTCAAGCTAAAGACAAATCTAGATTTTAATGTAGGTCAAATTTTTTTCCAATGACTATATAAGAAAGAAAAATAAATAACTGAACTTCTTCCCAGAATCTTTGGGTCACTAAGAACAGTCTGATCAAGGAAGATCAGATAATGCAACAATTTTGTCTTGTTGTAGGGGTGATAAGCTTGTTATTGCATAAACGAAATGATTGTTAGGCTCTCCCATAAGACTCCCCCACATATTATATTCTCAAACGATGATATGATCAGCCGCCCTTCCAGAATGAAAGTATTAATCCAACACAGCGTCTGTGGTTCCATGGTTCCATTATGTAGAAATGCTTGTTTTTGGAGTTAACTGCCTAATCTCATAAATCCCCCAGGAAATATGGCTCGGCTATCAGTTTGATGTTTCCATTGAAAACCAGCAGATGCCGTTCTGAGTATCACAGGAGTTCAGCCTCTACTCTGCTTCTTAAGAATCTAGAGCAGAATTGGAAAGAGGAGGTGGTCCAACTTCCTGGTTTTGTTTCTCTTGGTTCAGAGCTTCTGGTCGCTGGAAAAACATTTTTTGTACAGACTTCTCTATTTTCTAAGGTTGTTTTGTCCGCAAAACGTTTATGATTACAAGATTGTAAAAATGGATGCAACATGAAGGGAGGAATAATGGTTTTCACAACCCGTAAAAAATCCTTTTTACATTCGTTTCTTTAGAGCAACACAGTAGTTGGTAGTATGGGGGAAAATTTAGCTTACAATAAAAATAAAAATTAGAATTTAAACCTCTCAAATACTATAGTTGTTTATGTGGATATATGGATGACTAATTATTTCAAACGACAAGATGAGATGTCAACATTTTGTTTAAATTGCAGATACAGCACCACATAGCATACTCAATCCTATTTTCATTTGTAATGCTCCAAATCCCTGCCCTCCTCTGAATCCTTCTCACAGCCTCCCCACCCAGCATTTCTCTAATTACATTCTGCAGTACACTTTAGGGAGCCTGTCCTACACCCTGCCATGGATTTCTGTGAATAGAGCAGGGAAGGCTCAAGAGAAAAGAAAATGGTAGGCAGACAAATAAATGTAGATGTTCTTTTGAGTGTGAGGAGAGGAGTGCGGGGGTTGGACAGAGGGTGAAAGGAGCACGACTCCCTGGGCATCTGTAGAAGAGGAGGAGGAAGGGGATTAAGAAAAATCTGTCTGCAGGTGAAAAGGTCTTCAACCTTCTATGAATGACTCTAAACCTTACAGAGAAAGTTTACTTTTACAAAAGCGAACAATGGATATTATTATGTGTCTTCTGTTTTAGTTCACTGTGTGATTAAGAATGTCTATAAGTGCACCCATCTGCAGACTGTGTTGCTAAATGATTTGGTTTAATCAAAGTAAATACTTTTGAAAAACCGCCAGCTGGTCTTGCCGTCTGCTTTTGGGCTGTCATATGATACAGTGCAGTGGCGCAGTCCCAATTATCTGTCACTCAGCCTACCTGTCAGGGGATTTACACTTACTCTATTGGACTTTCATGAGGGAAAGAACAGAATCCAGGTTGTGTGTTTGCAGATGAACATAGTTCTACTAAAGCATTAAACGCACATCCCTTTGTAAGCCACTAAGTCTATGTGTAGGTGAACCTGCACAACATGGAGCCGTTAGGTAAACTATAATCCAGCTCCTACTGTTTGGTAGATGAATGGCTCTTCAAATGAAACATCCACAGGGCTGCTGAAGTTATCTATGTTCTCTGTTCTTTATATCCACTAGTGGGTTTCCAGGGCAGCCCAGGAGGCCAACCCTCCTTTATCATGCTGTAGTTTAGAGAAAGTAATAAATGTTTGGCTTAGAAGTTCTAAATTAAATGAAGAGAATGACAAAACCCTCCTATAAACTATTTAGAATTGTGGAAATAGCACAGGATTGCGTTAGTTTGGTTTTCAGAACACTTATGTTATAGAGAAAAGGTTCTAGCTGTGGTATTATTGGGACCCATCTATCTAGACCTATCTAGTCTTGATTTAATCAAATCAAGAGTTGTGTTGGTAGGAGATGGATAGAATGTTTGGGGCCTCGACCTTTACCTGAATTGTATGATATGGATCTTGATGGAATATAAATCCCAGATGAAACTGTATGAAATCAGTTTGTATTTAATAAAAATAGATAAAAAAAAAAAGTTAGCTAAAGAGAAACTAAATGTCATACTTTGACTAAACTTTTTCAGAGTCAATGAAGATGATGATGGTTGTGGGCAAGATGGATCTTCTATGTCACTTAAAATTATTTCAAACTATATTTTTTCCTCTAGCCTCCAAGTAACAAACTCCTCATAAAATTATTTAATTTGTCAATTTGACCCATCAAACTGGGCAAGATTAGGCTTCTATGGAGTCACCCAGACTGCTGCAGGGCTGCTTCTCAGAGCAGGTCATGACAATTTCCTTGTGGTTTCCTTTGACTCTGAGGTTAATATGTTTATTGAAATAACGTGTGGCCATTCATTTACCACTAGAGATGGAAGATCCATTTTTTTCCAGTCCACAAATACCTGGGCTGAGCGTATTGGCAGGTATCGGATACCAATCCGAATCAACTGTGGAATGAATGAATCAGTAAAAGGAAAAAAAAAAAAAAAATCCACTGGACTCGGTTTCCAAGATTTGAAGACGTTTCGCCACCTCTTCAGGAAGCTTTCTCAATTCAAATGTCTGGATCCGCAGTGAGTTTGAGTCCTATATAGACAAGGCTTTGTATTGCTTGGAAACATGCAAATGGAAAAACGATGAGTGGGTTGTTTGGCTCCATTGTTAGCCTATAAGAGACAATACCCCCCTTTAACGACAGACCTTCAGAATCATAGACAGGTTTCAGATATTACAGGCCAACAACTGAACCAAACGACCCATTCATCGGTCACCATTTGCATGTTTCCAAGCAATACAAGGCCTTGTCTATATAAAGACTCAAACTCACTGCAGATCCAGACATTTGAATTGAGAAAGCTTCCTGGAGAGGTGGCGAAACGTCTTCAAATCTTGGAAACCAAGTCCAGTGAATTTTTTTTTACTTTTACGGAATGACTATGACCTGGATGACTGAGAATCTTCATCAGCGTAATGAATGAATCATGTATCTTGAAATTTGAATTGAGGCTTTAGCACAGATATAAATGCAGTTTATATTATTTATTAATGAATAAGCAGCAAAAAAAAGAAATGGCAATTCTTCGTAAAGTACAGTGGATGCGATCCTGATATCCATATCAGACACAGATATCTGATCCTGCTAATTAGTCAGCGGCGTCAGATGTAGGAGTTTGCCCTGAAATCGAAGGATTGACAGTTCAAGCCCTGGCTCCGACTTTCAGTGTCGTTGTGTCCTTGGGCAAGACACTTCACCTGCATTGTCTACTGATGGTGGTCAGAGGGCCCAGTGGCACCAGTGTACATGAATGACTGAATGAAGTGGGAAGGGCTTTGATCAAGTCTCCCGACTTGAAAAAGCGCTACATAAGTACAGGCCATTTACCAGTCAATATCGAAGCTGATATCCGATCCAGGTTTTTGATCAGTGCATCTCTATTTACCACACATTCTCGGTGAGCAACTCTATTGTCTATGTCCCTATGTGGTCTAAATATCTCTAATGAATTAAAAGAAAAGGGTTGTCTGGTGGTCAGTAACCCAGATACATGTGGAGAGATAATCCTGTGCCTTCTGGGGTTTCTGACATTATAATACAGACTGAACTTGAGATGGTGAGGATGTTCATATAGTGTAGCTTGGAGTAAGCATGCTACTCCTCAGTGATCTATCAGATTAAATCAGTGGAGATGGTTCAGGCATCTGATAAGGGTCCCTAATGGCTGCCTTCCATTATGAACTTTCTGGGCTAATTAAAGCAAACCCATGCAGACTAGCAGTGGTCAGAGAAATTGTATTTCTCGTCTGACCAAGGAACCTATGGAGAGCTCCAAAATAAGCTAGAGATTGTTACTGTTGGGAAGGGGTGGTGAGGTTTTCCTCCGTGACGTGTTGCTCCTGCACATAAATGGAGGGAATGATACACAGGCTAACAAAGCTTTTGTCTACAAGTAGCAGATGTGTAAATTCAGTCTAATATTACTTTCAAGAAAATTAGCTCTGGAGAAAACTCATTAGCCACCCACCTGCATTGCATCTGCTGGAGACCATTTAGATTTTTAATGACTTTATATTGTTTGCCATCATTACCAGTTTTGGTCAGGGGTTCTGATTGCACCAATTGTGATGTCACATGTTTTATCATGAAATGACGTTTATTTACTAAAATAAAATACCCTTTTTTTCTCCCCTTTGTTTTACCCTCACTTCTTTCCTTTTGTTCCTCTCCTTCTTATGGGCTTTGCTCCCTACCTTATCGACAGGCAACAGTATACTACACTCAGCTGCAGACAGTGTGACAAGTGCTGTACAGAAGGCCAGCCAAGCCCTGAATGAGCGCGGTGAGCGTTTAGGTCGGGCTGAGGAGAGGACTGCAGACATGATGAACAGTGCTGAACAGTTTGCTGTCACTGCACAAAAGGTGAGGCGTATTCAATCATGATGCATATTAAGGCATGAACCCAGTATCGAGGGTTAAAAGGCAATTGAAGCTTCTGGTTCCTTATTTAGCTACGGTGCAAAAAGCAGCTCTCAGATCTCTGCACTTTGAATATAATAATGTTTCTTTTTCCTTCCCCATTTACCATTGAAATCTCACAAAAACGAACAGCATGCTGCTTTCCAAACTTATTAAAAAAAGGTTAATCGTAAAAAAATTTCATTTCTGCTATATACCTGGAAATACTGCACACTTTAAGATTAAACGTAAAATCAGTTTTTTCTCAAAAAGTGCAAGAAAGACGAGATGCCATTAACATTCATAATAAACTCCTCCACTGCAGACAGCTTTGAATTATGCACCATAAAAGTGATGCTATGATGATTGAAACTAAATTGGAAAATGCTAGCTTGACCCTCTTGCTGCTCAAAGGAGATTCCCTGCAGCGATGAGTGACAAAAAGTCCTATAAGCAGAGAGAGAGAAAGAAAGGCTATTGTTCCTGTTCCAGAGAAAATGACTTTAAACCCCACAGTGAATCACCGTTCCTCATCCCACTTCTTTCAAATTGCTTCAGAGCTTATAAGTTTTGCACTCGTTTAGAAATACACACATGCTGATTTTCCTGGATGCATTATGAACGCTTTGATTCTCATTGCTTTTTATAATTCATATTTGTTGCTAAAGTTGCAGATGCAGAAACAACATATTCAACTTGTTTATACAGATTCTATAAAGTTTATTTGATTTACTGATAAATAGATAAATACATATTCATGCAAGAGAAACAGCCTAGATTCTATATTAAATTTTCTTTGACTAGGTTGGTCTGAAAGCATACCACGGTGGGAAATGCTTTGCAGAGAATAAATGCATGTCAACATAATGAATGGTAATTTCTACAAATTATGGAAGCTTTTTTGAAAATCGTATTTTATCTGAAAGCAACAGATAATTTCAATAAAATTTGTATTTGCATGCATGCATATAGTTCAACTTTAACTTTTTTTTTTACAGTCGTCTTTTAACACACCGACTCCTAGCCTTCTTAGCAGTCGCAGCATAAGAAAACCTATCTGCAGTACTGTGAGAAGGTCACCTTGACTTTTTTCCTCCTAGTCCATTTCTGCAGCTTACTTTGTAGCTGCAGACAGGTATAACTGCACTGCTCAGTTTTAATAAAAACTGCTAATGTCTCTGTGATGCTCTGCTGCCCCCATTGGATCAATCTGTAGAGTTCGGTTTCATGCAATTTCACATCACTAAACCCTGCACTCCATCTGTTAATGTGTGGACTTTTTTATGCTACCCCACTTTGTGCCTTTGCATTTGGTCACCCCAATCGCCTGCCTAATGAGACCTCCCTAAAGCCAATTAAGACTGCTATTCATAAGACAGATGAAGTTCAAGGGTGACTGCTTTACCTTGCAGCTCTGTTTTTTATGAAATAGCTTAAATGATGCAGGATGCTCCTTCATCCTATGATTCAATGTGTGTTTTATTGAGCAGCCTGGTATTTTATGGATTTCAAACTTTATTACCTTCTTTTTTAATTTTCTCACAGTTGTATTCTTTAACCCCCCAATTTTCCTACAGCTTGCCATGAAGCACAAATGTTAAGACCACTGCCAAAACCAGCTGGACTGGAGGTGTGAGCACAGACCAGTTGGCGCACAGAAGAGGGATTTCCAGCGTTGATTCTTTTTACATTTTTTAACATAATTAATAATTGTTAACAATGTTAACATTTTACTCTTTTTTGTTATCATACTGTGGTGCAGCACATTCCAAATAATAGTGATGCATCACGTACAGGGACTCGCAAAAGTATTCGCACCCCTATAACAGGGTTTACCTTTTCATATCATGTCATGTTAGAATAGAAAAAAATTAACTTCTGTGTAATTTATTGAGATTTTATGATGAACCAACACCAAGTTGTACATAACTATGATCTAGAGGATGAGTTGTGATGTTTTAAGGATACAAATCTGCGCATTTTTGGTTTCATCTGCAGCTTTAAAAAAAATGAAAGTGAGATAAAATGCATGTCTGTTTGGATTTTTCCAAATTTTGAGGGATTCTAATTTCAGTTTAGATTTAGACCATAACTGGATTGAATTTTTGCATTTTGAAGGAAATGATTTTACTGTTGCTCTGCTTTTATGTTTAGTTTCGTTATCCTTGTAAAAGTTGAACCCCCCACCTCTGTGAAATCTGTTGCAGCTCCTATTAAGTCCTCCTTCCTGGTCGCCCTGTATTGTGCTCAGTTTATTGCCCTAGAGCATGATTGTGCCTCTACATTTAATAATGTATGGGGTGTTCATGATGCTTTAGTATGGCAGCGTCCAATCCTCACCACACACAGTTTTTCCACTTGTCATCCTATTGAAGCCCCTTTTTCTACGTTTGTTCGGCTTTCCTCTCGTCACCCTTCCATAACGGCCAGATTTATGGACTGGCTGATTAGTGTTGTCTTGTCAGTGGATTTGCATTAAACAATACTTCACAACATATTCAAAGCATTGAATATCATTTAAAAACACTAACCCTGTGTTACAACTGTGTACCTGTCCAGTCTGTTGTGTTTGTCAGTCTTCACATTGGTGTTTTTTCACCAATGTTTTGTTTCTGGAGGCCTTAATAGAGAAGCTAATGTAAGATAATACATAAACTAATTAGGTGATTTCTTAAAACCATTGATTGCATAAAGATTTGTATAGGGGTGTAAAAGTAAAGTAGGGTGAAAAAATGTTTACCTCTTAAAGATTTATAATTTGTAAAAAGTAATTTGCATACTTGTAGCCTTTTCCACCTACTTCAGCTATTTACTGCTTTGTGTTGGTTCCAAGACAAAAATATAAATGTTGTATTATTGACATGAAATATTGGGTTTTAAGGGGTATGGACTCTTACAAAGCCCTAAAGTTTGGGAGAGAGAGAGAGACAATTTTCAGGAGAATGTTTAATGCTTCCATTTGCCAAATAAAAGTGACTAAAATTACTTTATTTAAAGGAAACCCTCGGTGTTGGTTATTAGGTTTATTTATGCACACAGCTGAGTTTTAAAGGCTGATTTATGAGTCAGTGGCTTTGTACAGCTTTCTCCTTTAAAATTATGACTTTATTTGCTCAAATTGAAATATTTTGCACCTACATTCCTAAAGCAGAATCTTCCTCAACCATTTTGGGACGATGTGGTTTATGTAGCAAACCTGTCCCTAGGTATCAATTTTCAGTGTTTCTCTTTAGTTTTTTGACTCCAGTCTTTCCTTTTGTCCATAACTTTCAGCAAGTACCAACAGTATTGGTTATGTTTCTTTTTAATGAAACATCAACAACTTTAGACTGATGGTAGAGTAGAAACACAGTTATAGATCTTTATCTCATTAGAAGCAGTACAAACTACAACACACATGTTTTAGAAGTATTAACATTTTTGTTTTTAGGGATGGGAATTACACAATGTATTATGTTACAAATGGGCTGTATGTTAAGCCAGCCTCTACTAATATTTCAATGTCTGTGGACCTAATTTTTTTTGTCCCTTTATGGGATATTTAACAATTAATCCTGACTGGTGAATACTTTAATGTGCACTAGGTAGTTCCTTTGATTTTTCTTATTTAATCTTTGAATTCTCTTGAGGTAATTGCTGATTTCTGATAAATATCCTCAACAGCAGCCATGTGTGATATATTTTTTGCTTTTTTTTGTGCATTCCCACACTAGCTTTCATGTAGGGTCACAGTTAGGATGCACCTTTTTCATTACATGTTTCGCATTGTCTAAGCCTTGACGTTACAAAGCACTGATGTAATGATCCTGCAGAGCACTGCTGAGCTCATAATGAAGCGTTCCAATTGCATCACTTCGATGTTTAGCTTTTTAATAAAGGGACGATTTATTTCTCAACAGTTAAGTTTCTTGCTTACCACAAATGTAATCTATGTTTTTTTTTGTTTTTTTGGTACGTTGGTATATTTTGCTTTAACTTGCAGAACTGTTCTCTCTTAAAACAATGTGTATACACCTTTAGTGCTCAAGGTTTTATGTTGCTTTCTCCATTCAATGTGCTCAGTTTCACTCGAAGTGTGAAAACTCTTTCTTTTTCCACTGTTTTCAGCTCTAACTGTGCAGTTGTAATGTGAAATAAATTACACAGTTACAGTAAAATTGTCTTTCATTGGTGACTCTTCTGGCGTGTGATCTGTTTGTTGCACCCTTAAAGATGTATACTTGGTGCTATGTTACATTTTTTTATTTGCTGATATTATTCTTCTATACTTTATATACACTTCATTCAATACCAAATATATTTGGAGCGTGGCATAACATCACAGTAGTGCTTGGTGGCAACTAACTGCACGCTTTGCTTTTGTAGAGGGAATACTGCTCTCATGTGGTGGAGATGGAAAAATAGTTAGATCCAAAAAAAACAATCACACTAAATAAAATGATTTTATTAGGTTATGATTTAAAAATTCCAAATTACATACTTATGTTGTAGATATCTTTACCATCATAGTCATTGGTACATTTTGGAACATAATTACTTCCTCTACAGGAGTTAAACGTATTTCAAGTTACCTTTAGAATCACAGACTTCCTACACACTCCAAATAAATAATAATTAGGTTGATTTTTGTCTCTAAATTGCACTTAGGTGTGATTTGGATTTATTGTTGTTTTTCCTTTGTTGCCCTGTGAAAGACTGGCAACCAATCCAAATTCACCCTGTTTCTCCCAGGGACTGCTGGAGATGGGCACCAAGTAGAGACGGATGGATGTATGATTGTCTGAAACATATGAATAACAGAGCTGCTCAGAAGCCTGTTGAGTTAAAATTACTTAGCCTAACCTAGCCATTTAATAAGTTTCATAAGCAATCATATTGGTAAATCTGTTACCATGGTGACATATTTTGGGGGTAAGGAACAAGATTAAGTTAAAGCTAAAAGGTGGATCCTGAGTCTGGATTTGCATTTATTGCATCTGATGTAGAGTCTACATGGTTTATTATCTTACTTTAAATTAAAATAAAATATATTTTATTGTCCCTTAAGGGGAATTTGGTGAAAGCATAAGAGCAGTGACTGCAAAGTAAAGGCACACCAGAAATTATAGAGACAAATGTACAATGCAAATCATACAGGACAATAAATATGCTTCTGACCAATTGTAATGCTTTAAGGCAGTGGTACTTTCCAGGTATCTAAAAACAAGGTATGCATAATCACAGTAATATAGTACAAGATTATGTCAAACCTGCTATTCTCTGGAAAGTAGTTTAGTGTTATTAAGGAGACATAAGGAAGTTGGATGGATTAGAGGGAAATTATTGCTTAAAACAGTTGATTTAGCTAAGAGAAACACTCTATTACAACCTCACAGAAGGTATAATTTTTGTTTGAAGGTACAAACAAATTCATCATTACTTTGCAATTTACCAGGGATCTTATCATGAGTTTGATAGTATTATTTTTTAATTAACGGCCAATACATTTAACATTTCTGATGTATTGCCGTAAATGCACAAATCTGGATTTATAGAATAAATCTGGATATATAGAATCTTGCAAAGCTATGGTTTTCATTTAACACAAAGCACCCAATAAACAGAGTCTTTGACATAAAAGACAATTTAAGATGTTAGTTTAATGTTAGTTTAGAAAATTTCTGTTTAAAAAAAAATCTTGTCTTAAAATCTTTGTTTTTTTTTTTTTTGTTATATATTTGTTAGTTAACCTTCATAAAATATGTTGCTGATAAGAATCCATTAAATTCTTAGCTTGTTTTTGTCCTCCATGCTTTTTCTTTCTCAAAATATTTTTTCACCACTAGGGGGTGCAGTACTCCTTAAAAAGACCTCAGCTGTGCCCTGTTACTGTGTCCAATTGATTATAGATTCCTACTCTGATTGAGTTCAGTTTGTGTATTGATACTTCTGTTAGATCGAATGTGCAAATTAAAAACTATTGGTAATTGCTGCAGTTCGTGACAGCGTAATAAAGTAGCCAGGGATGCTATCAAACAGTCCACAGGAAGTTGAATTGCAAAAAAATATGTCAGACAGTGGATTTGACTATGTATTAATACTAATGTACTGATATGGCAGATTTAAGAAATCCTGAAATATTAAATATAATATAGGCTTTGAAATGGCTGTTTTTCAAAGATTTGTACTGATCTAATCAATGGTTCAAATAACTCTACCTTTGGACATCAATGAAAGAAAGCCATTTGAATCATCTGACGGGGCACTCAGGGAGTCTGAGGGAACCTCTTAGGCTCTTAGATGGTATTATTTTTACAGGCATGGATACAAATGTGGTTGATATATTTTATACATACCAGCACTTCAATTAAGCAGCATTTCAAAGTTACTTTCAAAAAGTTAACTCTAAAAGCAGACAGTTTACATTTTTATTCCACACAAATTTGTATATCTCATTTCTTTTTTTATTCTGATTATTCTTTCCAGCTGATAATACTAAATACTGAAATTTAGCTTCACAGAAAATAAATTAGCATAGGACATATGAAGGCAGGCTAAACATGGAAATCTGTTTTTTCTCCCACACAATTTTCCACAGATATGTTTTGATTCGTTCATATAAACAGCCGGCTTCAAATCCATTCAACTTTCTTTGCATACCCTCCTTTGTGTTGGTGTTAGTGAGGACTTGCTGGTGAGTTCTGGGGTCAGCAGTCTTCCTATTAATGTATAGGGCACAACAAAAATTAGTGTTAATACAGAGAGGGAAGTCTGGGAGTCTATAGTGAGATTGCTGCCCCTGCGACCCAGTCCCGGATGAAGCGGGAGATAAGTATGAGAATGTTACTGTATGTGTTGCAGAAAAAAAAATAAAAAATACCACAGCGCTTCACCCTGAATCCACCATCTCAATGTAGCACGGTGGTGGCTTGGTTATGCTGTGGATATGTTTTCCTTTTGAGCAGAGGGGGATAATGGATTAGAACATGTTAATGTCCATTCACCCTATAAAGTACTATTAAAAACACAAACATTAGTGGGTGTAATGGGACGAAACATAAAAGTTGAAAAGCTTAGAAATACTGTAGTTCTAATTACATACAAATACAGTATACTACTGCTATCAGTAGTACACAGTAGCACCTAACTTCTTTCTTGAGGGATTGTTGCATAAACTGGAAACCTGGGTGAGTCAAATGTCACCTTCAAAGACACATTGGCATTCCTGTCAGACCAGGAAGCGTGAGACTCAGCAGAATTTTATCGGTTGCCTTACCAAGAACCCAGCCAGCCAGCCAGCCGTCCCGAGGGCAGCTCATTTTTAATCTGCTATCATCCCCAAAGGCTCAGCGGAAGTAATTACAGGTTACACCCAAAGGTTAGAAGTACAAATGCACTGAACTGCACCTCCAGGTTTCATTATCACATACACATCTTTGCTGTGATTTTTCAATTTATCAGGACTTGATTTACCTCGAAGCAACTCTTTAATACCTTTAACAGAAATTTTTCACCCTCATTCTAGGACCTGGGATAGAGGGAGGCAATTGTGTCAAACCACCTGGACCAAACGAATATGCTTAAAACCTAAGTTATGAAAACGCCTCCAAATTTTATATTTAACTGAAGTTAATTTGGCATATCTTAAAATATAGTTGATTAAAATGATTAAACAAATTAGAAGGTGAACCAAAGGAATATCCTTTAAACTCAAATTATGGAAAGGGCTCTAAATTTTATATTCAATTTGAATAAATCCAGCATTTTGTTTTTATTCAAATCATCTGCATTTTGTTTTTTTTTTACAGTACATGTGATGTTTTCATTCATAAAGGGGGAAAATAAACCAACCAAACCTGTAAATGCTCCAATTGTTAAATCCATAAATAAATGAGACTAAAGCAGATTTTGGGATGCCACTAAACAACAGCGAGAGCCATTAGCCACAAATAGAGAAAAATGGAACAGTGTCAAACCTTCACATGAGAGGCTGACAGGGATGGAGGATTTTTCCTGCTCTCAGCTTTGGAATGTGATGCCTCAGTCTTGGACTTTGTCTTGCATTATTGGGGCTCAAAAAGGGTTTTAGGTTGTTCAAGGCACAGTAGCTTTTTAAAAACTAGAACGTTCAACTTCCTTTGATCTTCGCCTCAAGTGTATGTTATAAAAAAACGAACAAATCAACTTAATCTTAGATTAAAGAAAGCAACAGAAGATGTCCTGCAATATTGGTGGTTATCTTAGCAAATGCATTTTTACTACAATAAATCTAAATGAAGCCAATTTATCTTAGTTTCACAGAAAAAGCGTTTTAAAAATTAGTAATCAGTAGTTCAGTAGTTTATATGGTGAACATTTTATCACTCTAAGTGTTATATATTACTATGTTAACTGAAGAATTTAGTTCAGAGATTGGGTATTTCTGCGCTGTTGCATTTATTAACTTATTTGTTTATTTTAATGTTTATTCAATACATATAAGTGGTTCTAGTGGAACAATGAATATTTTTTAATTCTGTCTTTTGTGCTAGAAATTGTTTTTTTCTTATTTTTTTGTTGCTTGATATTTGCGTTAAGTTTTGGAAAAACATAAAGAGAGAGTTAAGGAAATTAAGTTCTTGGGAGTAGTGATAGACAATAAGATTTGCTAAAATATCCAGAAGTATTGCGATATATATATAAATATATATTTAAATACATATATAGGCCTATATATGTGTAAATATATATATATATTTATGTATTTATTTATTTTTTTGTGTGTGAATATTAAAAAAAACCTTTACAGGAGGGTTAATACTAAAGCAGAACATCCTGCCATCAGTACAGGACATTATACACAAAAACATGGTCTGCACATCAGAACAATAATCTGAAGCACAGTAGAATAGCTACCTTTTGAAGTGATCTAGTTAATGTCTGTGCTTCAATCTAAATCAGATGACTCTTAACATACAGTTCAATCTCTAAACACCCTGATGATCTAAAAAAAAATTAAGTGTGAGAAAAATAATCAGAAAGGATAAAACACTTGTTTACATCACACAGGCAAGGCAAGGCAAGGCAA